TAGATATATGTGTGGGTGTGTGTGTGTGTGCGTGTGTATGTGTTTTATATATATATATATATATGTGTGTGTGTTATATATATATGTGTGTATATATGTGTATGTATATGTATATATAATATTGAATTTTTGAATCATTGAACTATTATCATGTACATACTCAATTTAATGTCTAGTTGCTTCTCGCACAACCACCTCATTTTAGTGACCATTGTTTTTAGAGCGACCAACTGAAGCGTCCTCAGTTAGGAGAAGTGCATGCTCACAAAGCAGCAAGGTAGCCACTGCCGTTTCGTACATTCTTACATGTGCATACATGTATGTATCATTCATGCTTTTATTTGTACATATATGCATGTATGCAAATTTCTTTTATGCACGTACGCTTATATGTATGTATGTAAGTCAGAGCAAGTTCACGCGCTGGACAAGTCCACCTTCTTTATACTATTAACACGTGTACATATATCATACACCCACCATCATCATGCATTTGTTATACATACGCTATGTCCATTTATCCTCCCCAAAAAAAAAAATTCCAGTCACTCTACTTACCCCACAACACTCTCTTTCATACACGCGCGTTGCTAGGGCAACCAAGCTAAAGCCACCGCCGACAGAGGAAGTGCATGCGCTGGACGAGACCACCTTCGCAGTGGATGTGACATTCTCACTCAATCGCCGCGGTGTTCTCATAATAGTCTTCAATCGCGAACTGGTATTCTTCGATGTGGAGATCGGTGAGTGGGTACTTGGTGGGTGTTTATGTGTTTGTCCATGGGCTTAGTTAGGGGTCTGTGGTCCACAGTCCAAAGTATTGCAGGCTTGACACAGGGTAAGTTCTAGTCAATGTGTTGCAAGTTGTGTACAAGTACATGCACAGCTGAAAGTATAACAAGCTTAACAGCACACCTTCTAGTCAATGTGGTGCTAATTGTATACAAGCACATCCACCATGGGCCGTACTACAAACATAGCAGGACAGGCTCTGAACAATATGTTTACGTCTGATATACAAACACGTGAGACGTACTACAAACATAGCAGGACAGACTCTGAATACTATGTTTACATCTGATATACAAACACACGTATTGTCATTCCCATTCTCATGTGAGATCACTACACCCGGCACTGGTCCTGACAGGGCAAATCCTGGGCATACAGCACCTGGAATCAGGCACAGGCAACTACACGAAGATCATGCCCACGCGCGACAACGGAGGCATCCTCTTCTTCCAACACGACAACAACACACTCTCCGCAAGACACGCCAAGGGAGACCTGGCCCACTTCAGAGTCACCACACTGGCCACTACGGGTGTGTGTGTGTGTGTGTGTCGTGCGTGGTGGTGTTGGTGTAGTGCTGTGTGTGTGAGAGAGAGAGAGAGTGTGTGTGTATGCATGTGTAAGTATGCATGTGTAAGTGTGTGTGTATGCATGTGTGTCTGTATGTCTGTGTGTCTGTGTGTGTATGCATGTGTAAGTGTGTGTGTATGCATGTGTGTGTCTGTGTGTCTGTGTGTGTGTCGTGCGTGGTGGTGTTGGTGTAGTGCTGTGTGTGTGTGTATGCAGGTGTGCGTGTGTTGGTTGGTATCGTTGTGCTGTGTTGTATGTGTAGTACAATGTGGGTTGGCTGTGTTTTGGGGTTTAGAATTTGGATGCCGACCATTGCAGATATATATCTGAAATAGACACTTATCAATACATCTACACATCCTAATACCTACATTACATCTACACACCCTAACACATTACATTTACACACCCTAACATCCTAATACCTACATTACATCTATACTCCCTAACATCCTACTACCTACATTACATCTACACACCCTAAAACCCTGTTACCTACATCACAGATCCTCTCAAGCTGAAGCGGTCTGAGCGAGTGTTCGGCGCAGTGCTCAACCCCCGCAGTGAAGCGTCTGTGTTTGTGATTGCTCAGTCTGGCAAGATGTTTGTCTTCTCGCTCATGGTCAACTTCACAGACAGAGCACAGATCCCCGTGACCGTCAAGGCGTCTAGCTCCTATGTGATGCCCAAGGTGTGTGTGTAGGCAGCTATAGTAGAGGTGGATATATTGTGCGTGTATATGTATTACATATATGTATTATGCGTGTATGTATCGTACATGATTATATGGTACGTATATGTTTATATACAAATGGGTATAAGTACCATATATGGCTTGTGATGTTCCAGCAGCTATAGGGACGCCCTTGTGCAATAGTTCATTTGGGGTCAATGGCTTTGAATGCGGCATAACCACAAGCATATATTACTCAGGGGTTTAGGGTTCTAGGCTATGTTTGTCCCTCTTGGTCACTGCAGTATCATTTAGTGTTCACGCGTTTGTTCTGTTTCTGTTGCTGGCCCTAAGCGCATTCGTATCTCAAGCGCCATTGCCACGAGTGAGTATTGCCTTGTACTGTTGGGATACCAGATTCATATATAAATATATATATATATATATATATATATATATATATGTATGTATGTATGTATGTATAAATATACGTCATTACATTTGATTCATATAGATATACATTCCTAATTATATCTGATTCATATAAATATATCTCTCTATCTAATTTTTTCTGATTCATATGGATATACATACTTCATTGTGTTATATACA